TTTTCATTCAAATTTGGCACATACATGTACTTTATACATGTTAGGATGCATGTCCATGACAATTTGTTTCAAAATCTGGTCAAGGATGGCCGTTTGACAGCCATCTGACTTTTTGGCCTTACTACTATATTTCCACAATTTATGTACCATTTTCATTTGTATTTGGCACATACATCATACATATCTGTGTTTCATAATCAGATCAAAGATGGCTGAATAACGGCTGTTTTTATTTTGGCCATATTACTATGACACGAAACACGTGTTTTCATGTAAATAAACAATCTGTTGTATACGCCACTTGGAACTCAAGTTTCAAGGACACGCTTGCGACAACCCCTCCGCTTTAATATGACAAGCACAAAGAGAACTTAACGGGGACTGTGTCATTTTCAATGACTTGTTATATTTATTTCTATTTTTACCTAGCCTCATATCATATATAAAGTGTTGTCATCGTCATCTCCACCTTGAATTAAATTTCTTTTGGTGACAATCTTTTTCAAACTTAGATATTTCATTGAATCAGTTTTGATTTTGGCTTTTGTGGCTTATATGTTGAAAAAGATAATAATTTCTCAGGTTGATTGACTTAAAACTTTAAATATTTTAATATTGCACAGTTATATACTGTATTTTTTCTATTATGAGTTCATGTGCTTACATTCATGACTGACATGTTTCTGAGGTCATATTATTACACAACAGTCGCCATAAGCCTGTACGGATAGCCATAATAGCCAATATTAATGGTATTAAGTGTGTATTAAATCAGCAGGCAATTTGTTAATGATCTCACATGCACAAAATGCAATTTTTAATTTGACTTCAATTGTAAATTTGGTATATTGTATGTACAATGTTTCAAAGTGTCAACAAGATTTGAATAACCTTTCTTCTGTATTGTATGTTTGTTTTTGCAGGTGATAATGAAATGGCGAAATCTCTACCGACAGCTTTATCCGCTCCAAACAGCGACGATATTATGACCAAATATAAGAACCTCTCAATCATGGGCCAGGCTGTTGATGGTAAGTAACTAAATCAATCACTCCTAGTAAAAAGTCTGAGACACTTTCTCACAGTTTGACGAGATTTATCATTATTGGTGAGAATATTCATGCTGTTAAAATGGTGTGAATCCAATTCTCACTTCTTCAGTGCTGATAGTATATCTTTTCAACAATTTATCCCAGTTTCATTGACAACAATGCAAAATAATAAGAATGGAAAAGTTCTCACTGATATCAAATTCAATGAAAATAATATACTGTAAAATATTTTTGCTGAAGGGATTGTGAAATGTTGAATAATTTCTCCAAATCATTAGTAAGCTAGTTCGTATTTTATAAAACATCTCAATTTGTAAGTATGCCACCCTGTTTATTGTATTATCTTCAAAATTTTCCTAAAACTCTGCATAAAGCGAAAATAAAACTGTATTGATCAACTTTTAAATGGCTGATAAATAACTCGTTGTTACACTTTAGTTCGTTTGTGACTTGTGGTATCATCTCAAAAATATCACTGGTATCATAATTACTGTATTCATGTTCCAGTATAATCTATGAAAACTTCTAGGTTTTGTTCATATTACAGTTCAAGATCCCGAAGACATACTTAACAAATATCGTCACAAACTCCATAGCGGACTGTCCAGTTCAGCACCTATGGAGAATGCTTTAGTTAACTTTGGTTCCACATCTGATAACAACGATGTCCCAAATGGACACGGTGATCACCCGGATAGTGCTGCAGACAACATGCTTATCACCGGTGAAAATATTGAGTCAACGTATGCTTTTAGTGACGCTAAGCGCAAACTAAGAATTGTTCTCTGCTCAGCTGACTTTCACACGCTTCCCTGGTTGACTAACTTCTCGACGAGTGTGGTCACACCGCATCGCTGTAATTTTAACGAGTGTGGCAGTGCTAAGGAGAGTCATGAGAATGAAATGATTGCGTTTTTAAAAGTACAGCTTGCTGAAGCGATAAATTTACAGGATAAATCACTTATTGCTCAGTTACACGAAACACTAAGATGTGTTCGGCAGTTTGATGTACAGGGGTAGGTACAATTATTGATGTTTTCACAATCCCTCAGCCAGTGTTCTCCACGCATTGATTTTGGTAGGGCCGCCATGGTAAAATCATACGCTGCAAGGCTCAATATCGCGCCGCCAGGGTAAAATTCTTCAGCGTCATGCTAAAAATCAGTCCTAAAAAAATCGACGGTTCTGCTTTAAAACACAAACTGAAATACATTTGTGCAATTTAAATGGCTCATGGCCACTCAAGATCATTGTAGTATGAAACCGTGACCCTAAAGGTGCGATCTATTAGGAGTGGCGACCTCGGTTTTCTCCCCGAAACGCCGTCCCGTCCGCGTGGTCTGGCGACAGCAATTATGCAAGACGCGTGCAACTTTTTATTTATTTTGTTGCTTTACTGAATCAATGAATAGAATCTTATATTTCGCGTACTGATTCATGGGTAAAAATGAGCGAACACTCGCACAAAACAAACGGCCCTTTTCAGGGCCAACACATCCTTCAGAGAGAGACTACCTCGGATTACTTGATAAACTTATGTTGTATTTCCAACGCGATCTGCCTTACACCATCGACGTATTGTCGAAACATGCTCACCAAACCTCCCGAACCCCCCAAACTTCGGGCCTGGAACACCCTTTTTCAGAGTCGCCACATCCCACAATATTAACACTGTTTTATTGCTTTCACAATCTCAAACAAATCCATACCTTACATTTATTTATTTCCTTTTTGCGATCCATGAAAAGAAAAAAAAACATACAACATTTCCTGGGCTTGCCTAAGTACGCACTGAATGCGTTTCTACAACAGCCAATCAACAAGCTGAATTCATGACCCTAAAACCGGCAGACTTCACCACAGATTGACAATCGGAAATTTATAATCAAAAGACGGAGGGGAAAAATGGGAGAGTGGCCAATAATATTGAAAAATTGTGAAATTCAAGGTTTTTCCCGGATTTTAAATAGAAAAGCCTGGATTTTAAATGGAAAAGCCTGGAAAAGTGATTTTCGAAATTCCAGTATATTCCAGGAATTCAAGGCTGCGTACGTACCCTGTAAGAACAGGAGGCGTGAAGCATGTTAAGATGCCATAAGCTAGAACAAGAGTAGGCTTATTCCCATATCTGCCACCAGAATGATTAATTAATTACACATGTAAATAGTGGTTGGACAACGATGTGTGGAGTGACAAGAGTGAAAACCATTCATGATTGCAGGTGCATTTTACAATGAGGTTGCCGAGATTTACGCCTGGGAAATGCCCTAGATTGTACCTAAATCTACAAATTGCTGTTTCACACTGTTTCCTATTTCTCAACACCCTATGCTGTTTCTCAATCCACACACCTCGTTAAAAATGCTTATATTGTCTGCTGTTTCACACTGCCTCAAACTGTTTCTCAACACCCTTTGCTGTTTCTCAATCCTCACACCTAGTTAAAAATGCTTATATTGTCTGCTGTTTCACACTGCCTCAAACTGTTTCTCAACACCCTTTGCTGTTTCTCAATCCTCACACCTAGTTAAAAATGCTTATATTGTCTGCTGTTTCACACTGCCTCAAACTGTTTCTCAACACCCTTTGCTGTTTCTCAATCCTCACACCTAGTTAAAAATGCTTATATTGTCTGCTGTTTCACACTGCCTCAAACTGTTTCTCAACACCCTTTGCTGTTTCTCAATCCCCTTTGCTGTTTCTCAATCCTCACACCTAGTTAAAAATGCTTATATTGTCTGTTGTTGCACACTGCCTCAAACTGTTTCTCAACACCCTTTGCTGTTTCTCAATCCTCACACCTAGTTAAAAATGCTTATATTGTCTGTTGTTGCACACTGCCTCAAACTGTTTCTCAACACCCTTTGCTGTTTCTCAATCCCCTTTGCTGTTTCTCAATCTTCACACCTAGTTCAAAATGCTTATACTGTCTGCTGTTTCACACTGCCTCGTACTGTTTCTCAACTTTTTCTCAACTTTTTCTCAACATCCTATGCTGTTTCTCAATGCACACACCTAGTTTAAAATGCTTATGCTGTCTGCTGTTTCACACTGTCTCGTACTGTTTCTCAACACCCTTTGTTTTTTCTCAATCCACACGCCTAGTTGAACGTGCTTATAATGTCTGCTATTTCACACTGCTTCACACTGTTCCTCAACAACAAGTGTTTCTCAACTTTTTCTCAACACCTTATGCTGTTTCTCAATTCACCAAAGTCTCAATGTTTTGCTATTTCTGAATACTCTTGCCTTATTATTGATTGATGCCACTCTCTCCACATCACATGTACATTGTAATATCTTCTTTAACAGATGTAAGAAACTTCTGCAATCATTAAGAGAAGACTACCTCAGCAGAGCGCCATATATTGCATATCTAATACGATGCAGGAAGGGACTGTTAGCCACGCAGGCACATTTAGAAAGACTCCTTGAACGAGTGGAAAGGTATGCACCATATACGTGTATTATTTTTTTACCACATTTGCTTTATTTGAAGTGAATCTTCTATAGAAATGCATTCAAATATGACTCATTGTGACCATAGTCACACCTGTAATTTAGATAACTGATGCATCCTTACAGTTTTTGATTCTGAGGACAAACTACTGTCACACATGTTATATCATGACGATCTCCTTTGAACAGTAAAATAACTTTGGCAGAAATTTTAATTTCAAGTTGAAGAGAATTGCAGATATTTTGTGTGAGCTTTGTCGAATGCACCATGAGTGTACATTCATTTACAAGATGTCTGATGGTCGGTTTTGTGTCAGCTATGTTAAAACCATCAGTGTACATTTCATTTACAGAGATAAGATGGTCTGCAATAAGTACTTCACATCATTATGTGTCCGACAGTTCCTTGAAAGACAAGAGCATGCAATCCACAGATTTATTATTGGCTTCCAAGCACTCACTGTGTCTGATGAAAAAGTAAGTATCAGTGCAGATTGCATCATAATAAAAAATCACAACAGGCCTATGCATGACCTCTTAAGGTCATACATCCTGGTACTTTCTGGGGTACAAATTCACTATCAACAAGAATTTATCAATTATTTTCCCCCAAAATGCAAGCAGTTATCCTTGAATTTCAAACATAATTTTAAAAAGTGTAAAAATTTATATTATAATATTAGTAATTCTTATTGTTATAGTGTAGACTGGCTCAGTCATGGCAATTTTATTGTTTTATTACCTTGCCCGTACCATCAAAGATGGAAAGGAAAGGTATATTAAGGGAAAAAATATGTTCGTCGTTGTCGTTGTTGTTGTTGTCGTTAATAATTGTTATTGTGTGCACAATAACTTTACTACCCCCGGTAATTCTATTTCAAACTTTATCAAACTTGGTCACCTTATTCATCAGTATAAAGTCTTCCCCGAGTATGAACAACAGATGTCCTGTATGAAAATATCATGCAAAAATTTAGAAAATCTGATAAAATATTTTGACTGTTTCTACTTGACCGATCACTGGTGATACACATTCAAAGGTCACTGATCTCAGTAGAAATATGCATTGTTGTATGTGTTCGATGAAGCAATCATT